CTTTGTCTTCTAACTATCCCCCACCCTTTGGAAAGCTCCCATGCCTGCTTGCTGCCTTCTACACATCAAAAGCAACGCAACTGCACCAGCAGCGTCAGGCAAAAGAGAGTTTGCTTGCTTTTTTCTCCTCACCCCCTCTCACAGAGCTGAGAGCCTGGAAAAAAAGAGATTTCAGAGTGTTTGCATGGCTCACGGCTCCCTGCCTGACTGCATTGCTTTCAGTCTGCAGAAGAGCAAACAACTTACTCTCTTGCAATCCCTTCCTCTCCAATCTCTCTTCTCTGCAAGGGGCACTGACTGTATTGGCAATCACAAATGGTCATAAATGGGCCATAAAGTTTTCGACACCACGTAGGCTTTTGAGCAAGCTGCCATAGGCCAATGTTCCACATTAAAGTAGGCTTGATTAAAGTTGAGACAAGGACATGGAAAAGCATCTGTCATCATTAGTTATGAAGCCACTGTACAGTTGGGTCTTGCTGATTTGGAAGGGCAAACAGGGTCCCTCTGAGGGATGGGCAGCAGGAGGTAAGCTGTTTAACACAGATAACTGCCACAGGTTTGCTGGTGTTGGGATACAGATAAGCTGGGCAGAGCTTAGGAAGAGGAGTCTACGTAGATGTAGGTCCTCAATGCGAATGCTGAATTCCGTTAGTTAGGGATCTATCAGAGTAGAAGCTGTCCTGTTTCTCAGGCACTTAAAGGTCAATGGCAAACAATGACAGTCCCCTGGAAAAGGAGGAAGGGCAGACTAGGCCATAGGGAAGAGGACAAGAGCCGGTGGGCAGAAACTCTATAGAACAAGACCCACACTCAAAATAAGGAGTAACTGCCTCACTGGGAGAGCTACTAAGTGTGGAATAGCCTCCCTCCTGGAGTTATGGAAGCTCAGTCACAGAAGTTTTCCACGCAAAGACTGGGCAGCTGCTATCCAGGACGGCATGAGAATTTCTGCCCTTGGCAGGACGTTGGACCAGAAGATCTTACCACCTACATTTTGAGGGCCCTGCTTTAGTTGGCAGTCTTAATATTTGACTACAGTACAGCACCACGCAATGGATGCCGTTGTTTTCTCTTTCAGACTGTTGCGTTTTATTTCTTAAATTTTTATTTATTATATTACTGTCAGTTACCATAAACAGGAATTTAAAGGGAAAAGAAAGAAAAATCTATCCTTCGGAGACCTCAATAATTAGACTTCAGTCCAGTTCATCTACAAAATCAACCGCGACCATTGGACCCAATTCTACATGGGACAAACATCCATTAAAAAACAGGCTCCGCAAACACCGGCTGGCAGTCCAAATGCCACAATCCCAAATCCTGTTTTGTAGTCTGAGGCCTGCACCCCCACCGGGCCACGCTGGCTCTCGGCAGCTCCTCTCCATCCGCCCATCCTTCACCCATCCTTCACCCAGAACGACGTCTTTACGGAGGAACAGCCTCAGAAGCAACGAATAACAACACAGAAAAGAGCCCTTTCTAGCCAGATGTTTTGCCTAGTGGGTCACGGAAGGCAAGCAACGTTTATGGCGCAGGGATACCTCAAAACAGAAGAAGGCAAACTGCAATTTTAAGTAAATACTTCAGAGGGAGACAAACCCCAGTTCACGTAAATATTTATATTTCCCATCTGTCAGCCACACCAACTTCTCAAAAAGAAATATGTTTCTCTACCATGCAACATAACATTTCCATTTCTTCACAGAAACATTGCAAAAGTCTTCTCTCTGGGAGATTTAAAAAAAACTGTCCCAGAATCTACCCCAAACAATATTCACCCCATACTTCTTATTCCCTAAAACATTCAATTCCCAAACAAGTTTGTTGTGCTTTTTTTCTGAATAGCTGCAAATGTGCACTGCGAACATACCATGGATTGCCTCTGAAAAACTACAAGGCTCGCTTTTTCTGTAGAAAATAGGAAGAAACACTTAATAATGTATTGAGGCAGAAAGCAAAATGTGAAGCTGAGTTTTTCAAGTTCATAATTAAAAGTCTTAATTCCTAAATCGAACTGTGGCTTTAATCTTATCATTCACCTATCTGAGACGGTATAGGTTCTTCTGCTTGAGCCAGGAGGGGGCTGGACGAGAGAGAAGGCCTCCAAGGTCCCTTCCAGCCCTATTCTGTTCTAAAGTCTATTTTTGTTTTTTAAAATCCCAGTAGAATAAAAAAAAATGGAATGGACTGTCCAGCAATGTGTTACAACAAAATGCAAACACTTTAAATCTTTGGACATTTATTGCAGAAAGGCAATGTGTTGATATCCTCATGTAAATTATCTTAAAATAGAAGCAGCAAGGAGTTTGTTTTTAAAAAAAATATTTCAGAAGAGCGGACTAGTTTGTTCCTGTTGACTTAAAAATCATAATAAAGCAAGATTCCATTTGAGATGTTATCAGGGTGATCACACCTGGGGCTGAAATGGATCATTCATCATTCATCCATTTATATAGAACCATTTTTAAATAGGAAATCACATCATTTACGGGGGTGGGGGGGAGCTTGGCTGACCTTCAGTGAAAATACATCTTCAAGGAGTATTGATTATTATAAAATGTATCTCACTGAAAGATAGCAAGATCCAGATTAATCAATATTTTGAAGTTCTGATGCATCAGAAGCTATGCAAAAATGCCATGTGATCATTTAATGATTATGATAATAATTTATCTGCTCCACGCATGCCCTTGATCTGAATCACTCTGGGGAGCAGTGGAGAGAACCCCAGGGCAGGGCTGGGCAATTATGGCCCCTTTATGACCTATGGACTTCAACTCCCAGAATTCCTGTGGTCAGCATGGCTGACTCAGGAATTCTGGGAGTTGAAGTCCTCAGGTTGTAAAAGGGACGTATTTGCCCACCATTATCCTAGAGCAGAGGTCCGCAACCTTGACAAATTTTAAGACTTGTGGTCTTCAGCTCCCCGCTGGCTGAGGAATTCTGGGAGCTGAAGTCCACAAGTCTTAACGTCGTCAAGGTTGCAGACCCCTGTCCTGGAGGGTGGATTCCCTGGGACGATTCTTTGGCTGACACCTCCAGCTTCATTCCAAATGCAACAGAGTTTTTTTTTTTTAATTGAAAATTTTATAAAAGTTTTACAATATATCTCCCTCCCTCCCCAAACCCCACCTTCCCCTCCCCCCTCCTTCCCCCCCGACTTCCCAGAGTCAATCACAGGGTTAACAATACAATAACCATACTCGATGTCTAACATTAATCACTATTAGATTAACAAATCTATAACATCCTTTAACTCTCTTTTAAACAAACATATTAAACACAACAATTATAACATCTTATTACTAATTATAAATAATAATAAACTACATTAACACTCTAAGGTTTACTCAAAAAACAAATGAAACTTTTTAGTTCCATATTTGCTCTCAATATAATCTATCCATCTTCTCCAACAGAGTTAATGTAGACCATCCATAAGACTATATTGCTTTCAATATATTTTTCCACATTGTACATGTTTTCAGAACTTTAAAGATGCCAGCATAGTTTCTGAGGGGAGATTCTATCAAATTCTACCGCTACTATCATGTACGCAACAGGTGAAATCCTTGCGGCCTGTTCTTTGGCTGGTGTTCCCACCAATTTTTCATTACTGGCACATTTTGGTGATAGTGTGATTTATAATATATAATAATGAATAACGTGTTATGTCATTATTATTAAAATTGCATTCTGACCAACTTTCAACACCTCTGTGCGACGTGGCCAATCCCAGTTTGGAGATCTTTCCCGTCATTTGCCATTATATCGGGGATGCCTGTATCTATGAGGGGGGACTGGATTGTTGAAAAAGCTGAAGAGGGAGGGGACTAATTAACACTGGGACTGAAGACCACCCTGAGATCCCAGCTCTGTAGATTAGGCTAGGAGGTAAAAGAAAGAAAAAGACCTTAGAAGACTCTTTTAATTCGAGAGAGAAAGCTGTCGTTCAAAATAAGAAACATCTAAGAGTTTAAAAGAAAGGCCGACTGTGAAATCACTTTCAGTCTACCATTTATACATGTCATTTTGACCAGGAGATAATAATCTTACGTCCATTTGCCACGGGTAATATACCCTGGCACAGACTAAGCGGCCCTGCATAATTCATGGAGCAGGAAAAGGTTTCTGCAACAAAGCAACCCAAACCAAGATTTCAGAGGCGATAAAAAGCAATTATTTCATTTATATAAACATTTAACTGTGGAGAACGTGGAGTCACTGCAACACAGGGCTACTTCTTCTTCTTTTTTGGGGGGGGGGGGGAAAATAGACTCCCGGGACAGGTGAACACGTTTATTCCTGCCAAACAGCACCGTTCACACGTATGCGGCCAGATACAACTACTGAAAGTAGCTGAAAGTAGAGAGAGTCAGCTTTAGGAACAGAACTATATTCTACAACACAGAGAGTCCTTGCCTTACAACAGTTCATTTAGTGTCTGTTTGAAGTTACAACAGCACTGAAAAAAGTGACTTAAGACCGTGTTTCACACTTATGACCTTTGTAGCATCCCCAGGGACACGTGATCAAAGCTGAGATGCTGGACATCCGGTTCATGTTTATGGCGGTCGCAGTGCCTCCCAGGGTCACGTGGTCACTTTTTTGCCACCTTCTCACAAGCAAAGTCAATGGGGGAAGCCAGATTCACTTAACGACCGTGTTACTAACTTAACAACTGCAATGATTCACTTAACAACTGTGGCAAGAATGTTCATAAAAATGGGGCAAAATTCATTTAATGAATTTCTAGAAGTTCTCCAATGTAGTTCTTCCAATGCTCGGAGGGATGGAGGGATGGATGGATGGATGGAGGGAGGGAGGGAGGGAGGGAGGGAGGGAGGAAAACATTTGTATTATTTTTAATACAAACATATTTGTGTTAATTTTAAGGAAAAATAGATTAAAGCTACTATAAGTAAACAGTGAAAACAGAACACTTCCTATTAAATTAGTAGAAAATCAGGCTTAAGAAGTAATATTGAATTTCTTACAGCTTTTTATGTTTCTCCTCTGCCAAGATCTGGTCATTTGGTTTCAACCCGTATCTGAAAATATAGGGGGGAAAAAACCTAGTTAATGGAAAAGAAATGAACACAGAAGCAGTTTTCCATATTGTTATAAGATCTTGACAGTTAGTCAACATTGCTTTTATTTTCTTATTTGATACATTATCACGTATTTTAGATACGTCTATGATCCTAAACAAGTTATTTTAAAATAATAAACAAAAAAATGTTCAAAAGCAAAATAAACTGAACAAGAACCATCGTAATTCCTTGTTTTCAGTTTGCAAGGAGATCCCACATCTTTCATCCGCACAGAACAAAAATACTAGAAGATAGATAGATAGATAGATAGATAGATAGATAGATAGATAGATAGATAGATAGATAGATAGATAGATAGATAGATAGATAGATAGATAGATAGATAGATAGATAGATAGCCTTTATTGTCATATTTTAGTGTGGGCACAATGGCAGACATTAAAAATGAAAGCTTGCTCTCAAAGTGTGCACATACGTAACACATATTTAAACATACTATGCAGAAACATATAAAGACCTTACTGTATGTTACACTTGTTTTATGTTACATTTGCAGATAATGGTACCACAGATGATAAGTAATTCATATTAATATGGGATGAATTGAAAATCCTTGAGAAAATGTTGTTGAAGGGAACTAACCTTTCCCCGAGAAAACATTATAATAATGCATAATTACCCAATTATGAAGAATTTCTGATCAAGATGCATAAGATGTGGAAAAATAGTCACAAAACTTTCCACCACCTTCTCCAAACTGTCAGGATGAATGCTAGATTTTTAACACTCTACATTTGTAGAGTTCAATCATTTCAGGGTTTTTCTAAATAGATTCTTTGGTATTTTTAGAACCTGCATTAGCTTTTACCTGATTCTTCAAGTGGGGAATCGGTCACAATCTGTTACCAGAGGCAGCCCTCAACCTGTTCATCTAGTGACCGTTTGAAGTCACAATGGCACTGAGAAAAATGACTTATGACTGTTCCTCACACTTACGACCGTTGCAGCATCCCCCTAGTCATGTGATTTATATTCAGACGCTTGGCAACTGACTCCCATTTATGGTGGTCACAGCGTCCCGCCAGGGTCACGTGCTCCCCTTTTGCGACCCTCTGACAAGCAAAGTCAATGGGGAAGCCAGATTCACTTAACAACCGGGTTACTCATTTAATGGCTGCAGTGATTCACTTAACAACCGTGGTGAGAAAAGTCAGAAAATGGGGGAAAATGCACGTAGCACATTTCCCACTTAGCAACATCAATTTTGGGTTTTATTGTGGTCGTTAAGTCGAGGACCACCTGTGTAAGCAAACTTAGCCTAGCAGCCTCCCATTTTCCCCCCTTTTCTGATAAACGGGACCACTGATCCATACAACAATTGTCCTTGTACGATCAGAACTCAAAGTAAGAAAAATTCGGCATCACAAAAATCCAAGTGATTTGTAGCTCATGTCAATCATAAGATTTCTTTGTTCTCGTTGTCTCCAAGTGCTTGCTTTTAAGGAACTGGGCTATTCATCGTTCGAGCATTAGGTCAGATCTGGACCCAACAAATACTGTTTAAATACACAAATGTAATCTGGCGCTAGCACTGCTCTGCAGGACCTACTCAAAGAGTTTTATTCGATTAGGACAACAATGAGGAATTAAAAGTCGCATTAGGCAGCATAATTTATAAAGGCGGCTTCCGGTGAGATGCAGATCTTCCTACCAGCTCATCCAGGAGACGTCCATCTTGTTCTTGTTTATAACTCAACTCGTCTTTGTACAGATAAACATCTGAGCCAAATAATCTCTTCTGTCTGGCAGCCTCGCCCTCATGGTGCATTTGGACAAAATTTTAAGCTGCAGAAAGAGCTTTTGAATGTAACACCAAAATAATAGGTTTAAATGATTAAAAGCGACTGAGAAAGCAAGGAGAGCCAAAGCTGATTAATGGCTGCACCGCGGAGACCTCCGATGCCTTCAGCCATCAGCCTTAGGATCGATCCTGCCTTCTCGGTTTCAGAGGGGGGCCTTGGGGTGACGCACACCCTGAACCCCGTCCACCCCCCCAGGGAGCCTGCTCTGCTCTGGCGTTGCTCAACTGCCTGGGAATCTCCCTCCCTCTCCTACTGTAAACTTGCCCAGGTAATGTGGGCGAACAGGAGGGTCCCCTCGGCTGCCAAATGTTCCAGCCCTCCAGCGTGAAAGGAGCCCCCCCCCCCAGCTGAGGAAAGCCCTCCCAACCGGAGGTGTGGATTCGGGAGATACTCACCTCAACACTCTCTATATTTAGGAAACCGGCCAAGAAAAAAAAGGGGGGGAAACCCCTGCCAAGATATTAAAGTGTTAAGCTGACTATAATCAGCCTCACGTTATTGTTGCTATCATTTTCATTTTATGTATTCATTTATGTAATCAGCCACGTTGAGTAATTCTATATGCAGCAAGACAGAGAGTTATTATTACTATTATTAGCCTAAGTAGATGCAAATAGCAAGAGCGGGTTTTGGGTTCCTCCGAGTGACAGGAGCTGCATCCAACGTACCAATTTTAGTTCAGGTTTTGCTAGACTGGGACTCGGATTCAAACGCCTCACCGTCAAGAAACATCCGGAAGCATCTGTGGTCAGTGGGCATCTCTTAGCTCAGGGGTCTTCAAACCCGGCCCTTGTATGACTTGCGGACTTCAACTCCCAGAATTCCTCAGCCAGGCAGTGAGGAATTCTGGGAGCTGAAGTCCACAAGTCATCAAAGGGCCAAGTTTGAAGACCCCTGTCTTAGCTTAACTTATTTCCCAGAACAGCTGCAGGGATAAAACTGGAGGAAGGGATCTCAGGAGCAAAAGTGGGACATAAATCAACTGGAGGAGTAAATGGGAAGAACGGGTTTTCTTATGGAATTAACCCTTTGGCGCCCTCCTTCACAGCTAGGCTTAGGAGGGACATTCTGACAACAGGAGAGCTCCACAAAACACTAGGTGCGAAGTACAATTAGTCCTCGGTTATTATGACCACCATTATTATGACAACAGCTGGGACCAGAATTTCCACGGCTAAGCAAAGTGGTTGTTAAATAAGTGGCACCCGGTTTTACTCTCATTTTGCCACAGTTGTTAAGCAAATCACTGCAGTTGTTTAATGAGTCATACAATCATTAAGCAAACCGGCTTCCCCCGTTGACCCTTCTCGTCAGAAGCCGGCTGGGAAGGTCATAAACGGGGATCCCAGGACACTGCAGCCGACATAGACACAACCGCACTTATGGGAAGCCTCAGGTCCTGGCTCCATGAGGAATTGGGAAAGGCCCCGTCCAGTCCCACCATCTCTGCTCTTCAGGGACAGGCGTTACTCGGCCTGGCATCTCTTCCCCAGAAGTCCCCCCCCTCAATTCAAATGATGGTGAAAATGTTGCATTTTCTGGCAACCGTGCCAAATAGGAAGAAAACAGCTAGAATTTCTCAGCTGCTCAGGTAGAAAATTTCTTTAATGTGAAAGTCTCTGTTATGACTAACTCCAAAATTGTTTCAACTTGTTTTTCTGTTTAATTTCCTAAGATGAAGGAGCCAAATGGGTTATTAGTCAGCACAGCTCCTCACCCCAACTCCAGCCAGACCTTCCCAAACGACAAAGTCTAACCCTTTAATTATGGGAGACTTTTTGGTATCAAAGGAAGCTAGTTAAATAAACAGCCACTTCGGACAGACAGAGGCGTCCTTAAATTAAGAGGCGTTTAGGGTGACAGACTCAGGAAAGATTTGCTGGATCTTTGAAGTATTCTTTGTCCCTGCTCAGTTTAGGAGTCTACAGTCACAAAGAGTTGATCTGAATTTTTTTTACTCCATTTTAATCATTTTGGACACATAAATGCTTCTCTCCTAAGATAAAAATGTTGCTTTTGATATCCCCTTTACATCACAAAGCTGACAGATAGAACCAAAGCCCCCCCCTCCTCCCCAGAGCTTCAACAAGCCTCAATCAATCAGAATAGAGATGGAAGGGACCTTGGAGATCTTCTAGTCCAACCCCCTGCTTGAGCAGGAGACCCTATACTATTTCAGACAAGTGACTGTCTAGTCTCTTCTTAAAAACTTCCAGTGATGGAGCACCCACGATTTCTGAAGGCAACTTCTGTTCTACTGATTAATTGTTCTCACTGTCAGGAAGTTTCTCCTTAGTTCTAGGTTGCTTCTCTCCTTGGTTAGTTTCCATCCGTTGCTTCTTGTCCTGCCCTCGGTTGCTTTGGAGAATCGGTGGACTCCCTCTTCTTTGTGGCCTTCCTAATCCAATTCTCAGTTTCCTATTTTCATTTCTGTCCTGCAATTGATGTATATCCTATTAGGGAAGCAGAGCAGCTAGCAAAACGCTGTGTATCCTCCTGCTGAAGTGAAGCTGTTTACAGAGCAAAGATACAAAACAGCCCTAAAAATGCAATATAATTTTATTATATTCGAGATGAGCTTCAAGATGAAATACATCCTGAACTGAAAGAAGGAACAGACCAATTAAGATTGTATGAAATTTTATAATCAAACATTAATCAAGTGTCAATGCCAGAAAATAATCGGTAGTTAATATCAGCTTAACCTGCCACAATTCCAAGGAGCAACCCAGACAGAGATGTACAAGAATGGAATGGAATGGAATGGAATGGAATAGAATAGGATAGAAAAGGATAGGATAGGATAAGGATGGAATGGAATGGAATGGAATAGAATGGAATAGGTGCTATATAATTTAAAAATTGTGTTACAGTGCAAGAGAGAATGAACAATTAATGACTTCTAAGCTGTTAACTTGGGACCGAAAGGCAGGGGTCCCCCAATTCCCGGGCTGTGCAATGGGATCAGTCTGCAGCCCGTTGGAAACCGGACCACGTAAGTGGCAGGCAAGTGCCCATGCCGCCCGTGAGCTAGGTTGCGCATGTAAAACCCCCCCCACCCCCACTGCTGCTGCCAGTCCGTGGAGCCAGGAAGGTTGGGGACCACCACCGGAGAGGAAGGAAGAAACAAAGTAAAATGAATTGCAAATTCTAAATTCTTTTCCCTGAGATAAAAGAGCTTCAAAAGCAGCAACCAATTGGGAAAATGGGCAAGAACAGCAGGAGAAGCCCCCGGGGGGGCCACCGACAGTCACTCAGAAAACCCAACCTCAGTGTGAGCCATCCCCAAAGCCCCCCCCACCTGATTCACAGACCTCAGAGAGGTGCAAATGGTTGATTCAGCGAGAGAGAAGCAGAACAGAGGGAACCTTCTGGATTAAACACACACAATTATGTGGCAAAAATTCTGCTATAATTAAAGATCAGCATTTCTTTTAGTTGGCAAATTTTCATGTTCCACTTCGCAAACAAGTAAAACAACTGGACTTGGCATTTACAATGAAATTTGTTATAAGAGGGATTAACTTCGCAGGACATATAAGAGAAATGTAAGCAGTTTCTACGTCTTAAAAGCACAATGCAGAGCTTTTCACTATTTAAATGTTGCAGGAGAACACATCTAGCAATTCATCACCCAGCCAGGGAGTAAATTGGCCTGAGCTGACTTACAGGATCGGGCTAATAAGAAATAAAATATTCTTCGGGACATGCTCATACTCATAAAATCCTGTGTTGTTGAACCCATGGAAACCCTGCAAGGCTCCACAAGTCATTGCTCTTTCAAGCTAAAGCAAGTCATGCACGTCAACCTACAGCATCTGAACCTTCTAAAGAAATTCAAAAATTCACCTCCTAAAATTTAATAACATTAATGCTAAAAACGGGGCTGCCTCTGCCAAGTAGAAGAAGCAATAAACATTCAGCTGGCATGAAAACAAGAGAACAGTTGATAGCCCCAAATTCAAAATAACTTTATTGCTGTCATTAACCAGCAGAAAGAAAAAGCAGGAGAAAATACTTTTTGAATATCCAGAACATTCAATACTATATAAGGAGGAGCAATACATAAAAAATGTGAGGAGGCATCATTATGATTGGTTAAAACAAGCTTAAAATCTAGAATTATGGAGTCCTTGACAAATCTGAGGAAGGGACCGTACAATAGCTGGCACAAAAAACCGAACGGCCGGTGTGCAGCGGTCAGGCAGAGCCATTCCCTGCTCAGACAAGTTGAATTGCTCTTCATTATTCTCTCTCTCATTTTCCAGGCCGCTGCCCGCAGCCTGGCAACCTCAGGTTGTTCCAGGATTGGTATCAGAAAGTAAGAAGGACTTGCACGGCTGCTCATGACATCCCGTTCTGCCAGCCAGGAGTGGGGCCTTTCAAGACGCTGTGTGTGAAACCGGCAGTGCAAAAAGGAGGAGCTCAACGGCCTCTACTTGTCCCGAGTCACAGGGGCCTCCTGGTAAAAGTGATGGCATCCTTTTTTTTGGTATCTTCCAGCCATCCCATCCCAGCAGAAGGAGGAAGAGGGATGCGACAGGGAAGGCCTCCCCAACGTCTGGCAGAAGACCATAGAGAAGCACCACCCTTCAAGGCTGGGTCGTCACCACAAGGGAGACCAAGCCATCATTTGCCCCACCATCCAGCCAACAACTTCAGGGTGGAAACAGCTGGCGCTTCGTTTACCCGGATGTCTGTCCAGAGTCTCTAATTGTCGCTTGCGTATCACAGAGGCCAGCGGAGACCTTCCCCGAGGGTCTTGGGAGGGAGCCCCGACAGCCTCAGGCCGCACCTGCAAGTCTGGAACGCTTCCTTCCCAGTCACAGCCCCACATTTGGACCTGGGCTGCCTCTTCTCACGTCCACCGATTCTCCCTCTCCCACGGACGTCCCACAGCCGCCCTCAGGCTGGCAAAGAACCGGATTCCTCTTCTGACTCAAGGGTCTCAAAACACCCTCCCAGCTTTACCTTGTGGGTAAGGAGTGGGCAGTGGAAGCAGTAAACAAGGGAGGTGGTGGTTCTCCTGCTTCTGAGGAAATGTTGAGAGAGAGGCCTGTCATCTCCTCCCACGATGGTTTTTCCCTAACCACAAATGTATTTAAAGCATCAGGTCAAAAATTCCAGGCTGAACAGAGACAACAAAGTCTAGAAGTTTCATTTCTGCTAGTAAAAGCCTCACCCTAAGCTGTCAAGAAGTGAACGGAGAACCCCTTAAGCAGCCTGCAGATTTACCTCAAGAAACGCGTCCAGGTCGAAGGGTGGGCCACTTTGGAAACCAAAAATGGGCCGGCCCCACAATTCAAGGTTCCCAAAGGTTTAGGGGAGAAATGAGGATCCTTGCAGTCTGCAGATGTTGTTGCTGAGGTGCAAATCTCAGTTTTGGTATTTGAAGCTCTCCCTTCATAGAACACAGAATCCTAGGGCTAGAAGGGACCTTGAAGGTCTTCTAGTCCAACCCTCTGCTCAAGTCAGAAGACCTTATACCCTCCTGGTCAAATGGCTGAAGAAGCTTCTTGGATGAGAAGCGAAACATTTTCAAGGAAAAAATCAAGTCCAGCTGCCTTTTGGAAAAAGCACCTCTGGGACTCCAGTGATGAAACACCGAAACGGACGGAAGGGGTCAGTTTCATTTTGTAAAAGGAAATTATCTTCTCCCATTCCTGACAGGTCCTGAACACAGGAGAGCCTTCTTTAAAAAAGCCCCTTAATCAAGAGGGGTGAGATTTTAGACAGATCTAGGTCAGCTACTTCATGACACTATTTCACATTAGGACCTGTTTCTTTAAAGATGCAGCCCGATGGGCGTACGAAAAGCTAGAGACCAAGAAACCAGAGAATATGTTACTGAAACAAATTATATTACTGCCCTTAATTATCATTTTAGCCAAGTCCTCTGAAATCTAGAAATACTGAAAAAGAAGCAACAACTGGAATAGCAACGATGGAAATAATAAATATTTGGTACATTTGTCTATCCTGATTAATTTGAAAGTTCACACATGTTGAGAGTGGCCAAAATACTGAGCGTGGAAAATAAGAGTCACATAAAATTCTAACCGATGTCAGCAAATATGCAAAAGGAAACAATGAGAGTGTTTTCCATTATGTATGTATGTGTATATATATATATATATATATATATATATATATATATATATATATATATATATATATATATATATATATATATATATATATATATATATATTGAAATTGAATATTTATGATATTGGAATCAAAATGGAACCAATGGAGGTTTTTTTTAAAAAAAAAACAGAGAACAAATCACGATTAAGAAAGAATTACATTTTCTACATGGCAAAAGGAATATACTGATAAAGTACCTGCAAGGGGGGGGGGGGAAGCAAAACCTTTAGGGCTAGAGACGATACACTCAGAAAATGAAGTCAGGAAGAAGACCTGCTCTGTCTGCCAAGGAAGGCCCAGAGAAATTCACAGAGTGTTTTACCCGTCAGAGCCGCCTCGCTCTCCCTCTATATTCATTAATGCTTGGAGGTTTGCCAAGAAGGCAAAGGATCACATGTGCCTTACGATGCCATTGTGCAAAAGACAAGACAAGATGCCAACTGTGTCATTATAGAGCACGACTGACGTTACATTCTGACTTGGTCCAGCACAGGGGACTCCAAACTTGGCAACTTTAAAACTTGTGGATTTCAACTCCCAGAATTCCCCAACCAGCCTGGTTGCCAAGTTTGGGGACCCCTAGACTAGTGGTTAAGGCACCAGGCTAGGAACCAGGAGACGGTGAGTTCTAGTCCTGCGTTAGGCACGGAAGCCAAGTCTCAAGGAGACCTCCGTCCCTAATCCCGCCTGAGGCACGGAAGCCGGCCAGGTGACTTTGGACCGGTCTCTTCTCTCTCTCACGTCCTTGAGTTACGCAATTGTGTACACCCTTTGCGTCGTAGTTTTGGGTGACTTCAGCAAGAGGACGCTTCTGGCATACTGCACAGAAACAGAAATCTAAGCAAAATTGTACACGTTTAATTCGTTACTGGGTTGCAACAAAGCAAGCCGGGTCCAGCCCCCGAGGAGGGAGAGGGAGAGCAGAGCAGGAGCGCAGACCGGACGTGTCACCCCCCCCCAGGTGCTGCCCCTTGAAGACCTACTTGTCGAGGAAGTCCTTGTCCACCACGGCACAGATGTCGAGGAGGGGGTTTCCCATCCCAAAGAGGACATTTTCACTGCAAGATAAAAAGAAGTTCTTCAAGTTACTTCATTTTACAGACTGCAGAGTACTTACAACAGTTCGCTTAGTGACCGTTTGAAGTTACAACGGCACTGAAAACAGGGACTTAGGAGCGTTTTTCATCCGTTGCAGCATCCCCCCCCAGGGTCAGGTGATCAAAATTCAGATGCTTGGCAACTGACTCATATTTATGACGGTCGCAGCATCCTGCCAGGGTCACGTGATCCCTTTTCGTGACCCTCTGACAAGCAAAGTCAATGGGGAAGCCAGATTCACTTAACAGCTGCAGTTATTCTCTTCACCACTGTGGCAAGAAAGGTCATAAAATGGAGCAAAATTCACTTAATAACAGGAATTTTGGGCTCAGTTGTCGTTCTAAATCGAGGACTCCCTGCGTAAACTTGCACCATTTGGAGACTGCAAAAGCCTTTTCTCTCTCTCTCTCTCTCTGTCTCTGTCTCTCCCCCCCACCCCATGAAGTCAGGATAATTAATAACCCAAACCACGCCATCAAACAGAGATCAATCAAGACCTTTCAGAGATTTGTTTTTAAGCCTTTTTGTGTGTTTGCGCAAAGAGCCCACGTGGTGCAGAGTTCACAGTAACTAAGTGGCTTTTGAAATCCTCAAATGTTATTTTATCAAGAGATACACTTGAAAAGTCATGAAGATAGCTCAAGCGGCTTTATCTGTAATCCAAATTTTTTTTTTTTTAAAAAAAACAAAAGCCAAAAGGAAAAAAAACAAGTTTGTGGGCACTGGCTGCCCTCCTGTAGATGCCCGAGGAACATTTAAATCCACTCAGTTTGCTTGGAAAGCAAACATTTGATCAATGTTTTGTTGGTCAATTCCTGTAAACTAGCTTTTTCTGGCCTTGAGATAGATATGTTGAGTAAATTCCTAACAGCTTAGCGATAAGTCCCCAAAGCAACAAGTTTTTAAAAGGAGCTGTGGATAGAGCACGTGCTTTCCAGGTTTTCTCTCTAGTATTTATTTATTTATTTATTTGGTAGAAGTAGAGCTGACTGTTCTCGCTAGATAAAATTCACTTACAGTCTCCGTCTGCACTGACCACCGATTTCCATCAGGATAAAGCAGATGCAACAAAATTTTTATGATAACCTTTCTGTACAAAATGTGTTTTATGATTCATCTATCTTATAAATTAATACTAAAATTAAGAGCTGAAAAGTGGAGGGGAGGGGAAGCAAATATTCTTAATGGTTTATTTTGGCTCCAGTTAATAAAAGATTACAATCTTTTTTCAGAGGGAGCCCAAAACCTTTGACCTCTGAAATGGAACCCAAAGGTCTCTTTCTCCAACTGAATCAACATTTTAGGAAATCACACTGGCCCTGTTCAGAAACCAAAGTCTGGATTTTACCAGCCAAATAAGCCCTGTGTCATTTTTTTTTTAATCTGACATTAAAAATGTAAAAAAATAAAATAAAAAAAAATAACATTTAAAAATTTAAAATTTAAATTAATTTTTTTTAAAAAAGGGGGGGTATGATGCAAGTTGGTAAAGAACAAGTCTGACTTATCTTATCCACTACAGGCAAATATGATCAGAGAAATTATCAGTGTCATCAGAAATGTGTATCACAATAAATGATTACAGCTGTAACTTTTTTAAATAGCTGCTTCCACATCATAAGCTAGTCCAAAGTTTATAAAATAATGTTCACATGGCTCACGTGTGTCTCCTTCCAGGCAAGCTCACCACCAGGCCTACCACCCAGATCTGGAGATGAGAGGAGGCCATTCTAGAGATTTCAAGACGTAGGCTGTGAGCTGCAGTGAAATTACTGGGGGGAAAACCTGTGGCATCACGTTTGCAAATGAACTCAGGCTTTCCACCAGACTGGGAAATAAAAAGCCTGAGTTCATTTGCAAACGTGATGCCACAGGTTTTCCCCCCAGTAATTTCAAAAAAAAATTCCTCTGGCCTTGAGGAGTGCAATCAGCTCTCAAAAAGTTGAGACTCCTCATTAGCTAAATAAATTAGAGTCTTCTGGGAAGACAAGAATATTTACTGGCAGATTTCAGCTTTATTTATGTAGATAGGGTACATTCACTACTCAGAGCTGGCTTTGACTAGAGTGATATATAAAGTCCTGTAAATAAATGAACTTGGGAAACCGGAAAATCAATGTTCAGCCACGAAGCTCCTGTGGTTTATACTGAAAAGAGTTCACAGATCCAGTTGTTGTCATTTCAGCTAAACTGCCCTGAACGTACCGGACCTATGGGCAAATAATTGGTTACTCCGAGATCTGAAATAGCTGTTATTTCAGAACTATGTTGCAAATCTTACTTACAAACTCCTGCAATGTTTGCAGAACATTAAATACAGAAACTATTTTGAGACATCCAATATCGTGGCAGTGGGAGCAAAGCCCCACCTGGTTAAAGCAGAGGGAGCCTCCCTCGGCCGTGGCTCCCACTCGGCATCTGCCAAGGAACGGAGGACTAACCAAGTTCCAGGAGGACTAACTAAGTTCCAGGCGGGATCCGCGCTGGTGGCTTCGGTCACCCAGACCCAACCCAAGCCCTTCCAGGCCCTTCCAGGTGACTCCGTTGCCCCGACCGCGCCGGCCTGGGAGGCTTCCCTCGGAAAGGGCTCCCTTCGCCAGCCTGAGCACAGGCCGGGCTGGGTCCACGCCGGCTGGGCAGAGGCCGAGGGCTCCCTGCGGGTCAGCGCCGGACCGCCAGCCTCCCAGGCCCCGCGGGGCTCCCCAGCACCGGAGATGCCGAAGACCCCCCCCGCGCTCCTTCCCCGCTCCTCCCGCCGGGCAGAGCCCCCCGGAGCCTTTGGGGGGGCGGGGTGGGGGGCTTGGTCAGGCCCCCCGCGGAGAACCGGCGCCGCGACTCCCGCCCGCGCCGAAGCCCCCGGACGCTTCTGCCTCCCCCGCAGCGCCCGGGCGCCGCATGCCGAGCGGAGGCAACGGGGAACTTGCGCGGGCTCCGGCGGCGGCGGCGGCGGGGGGCGGGCAGGGGCGCCACGCG